AACAAGATGTTGGATAATGATCTCGGTAAAGGTGCAGTTTATCAGTCCAGAGGGAAGTGGCCTCGTTTCCCAGGTGACTGTGGCTGTGTCTGCTACTTCAGGTGTTTGTATTGCTAAACAGCATTAATTAAGAACTCCATATGAAGAGGGCTCTATCTGTCACAAGATCTTGATTGTGACAGATAGGTTGCCTGAATAGCAACCCGGTGGTTGCTATTCAGCATTCTTCATTTGTTCTTTGTGGTTGTATTTAGTCTATATGCATTCACTCATCAGTCATAAATGACTATGAACCTGTTTGCATGACACTAACATTATGCAGGTCCTGGAGAACCACTGTTGGCCCTTCTGAGTAAGCAGACAAGCACAGATCAGAACCTCCTGGAGTTTGCCTATCATCATGGAGTTGGAGTTGATCATGCTCCTCCTGTCATGCTGGATTTGAGTTTCTTTACCCACATGCAGGTTTAGACATCAGACCGGAAGGTTTTTGGTTCAAAGATTTATTTACAGTTATTATAGAATATGTTGAGCCTAAGTTGTCCTCTGGTTTCGGGAGCGGCTGGGCGGCTCAGGTAAGATCATGTGATGGAGGATTGCCGAGGAGGAGGTAGGATCCGTTGGTGCAAAGGCTCCGAGAAGGTTGCGGGCTCAGGCGGCAGACGAGAGCGTTTAGTCCGGAGGGCGATCGGTGTCAGTGTTCGGGTGGGCGTGGTTACTTAGCTGGATCCAGGCAGAGCATCCAAAATCTGAGAAAAAACAATAAAGATTAACTTAGTCCTTAGACAACGTGAGGCTTGGCAAACCTTGGGATTGACTCTGACCAACAAGTGGGACCATCGAGCGATGAATGGCTGCTCCACCGCTTCTTAAGAATCCTGCAGCCGATTTCAGAAATCCGCTTCAGGTGCGTCAGCCTGCCGGAACGCTCCCACGAAGATTGTCTATTCGGAGGAGCACTCACACCAACTTGAATCCTAACACCTCCACTGTAAAAACAACGACAAAAAAAAAAAAAAACAGTTCTTATTTACAGTAAAATACTGGTCTTTGCCAGAACTTTACCATCTTTATACGGTAAAGTTCTGGCAACCAATACTTTCAGTATTTTACCGTATTTGCCAAAATACGGTAAATATCTGGCAACGGCAGCTGCAGGTATTTAGTGTATTTCCCAATATACAATAAAATAACATATTTCCTAAAATATTGTACAATAAAAAATAAAAATGTGGTTTTGCTGTAGTAAATGTGGTCATTATGCCTGAGGCATAACATCTCGGCTAAACTGACTTTAGCAGTTTGGAACTGTTAACTTTTCTATTCAGCTTACTCTAAAAACAACACATATATCATAAAGATTAGTCTATGTAAATGGAAAACATGGCAGGACTGTATGATATATTGACATTTTATTGTAAAAATAAATAAATGAAAATATAAACTTAATGGTATATTACCAGTAGCTGTTGTTACCAGAATTTTACCATAAAAATTACAGTACAGCACACAAGTCTAATTTGTCTGCATTTCCATATGGAAAGTTATAAAGAAAATAAATCCAAATTAAACAAAAATACAGATTACAAGTAATCCATTTAAAGAAACAATTTGTATTTAAAAATTCAGTTAAAAAAAGAAACGATTCTGTTTCATGTCCATAATATTTAATTGATATTGACAAGTCTACTGCTGCATATGTGGGTATTGGCTTATTGCCCAGCCCTCCTCTGGCATATACAATGATCACCTACTCACACACACTTGTTTCTGTGACCACATGATCCTGGATGTCCAGAAGTTCTCTTGGAAGGAGGATGTGCTTTTTCTTAGCACATCCTCCTTCTTACCTACATAACCAATCCCCATGCTACCTCACCAACTTATTCCACCATTACACTCCTTCCCTCTGACGCTAACTTCCTGTCTCTAGCACAGAGACCCCAGCGTTGGCCCTGCGGTGACAAAGTCTTCTCCATGACACCCTCCACCTATTCCCTCTGGGAGCCTCTCCCTAAGCATATGCATAACTATACAAACTTATCAACATTCAAATTACATCTTATAATACACCTTTTCTGAACAGCTTTTAATTAATAATGATTAATGTCTTGCTTTATATTTGTCTTGTGTTTTTCAATGTCCATTGTTATAGACATTAGGTGTTTTCCTTTTATGTTTTTGTTTTAGTGTTCTGGTTGTAGTTTTTTTTATTCCTGCAATGTGTTCTTGAGGGATTTTTTAGTAAGTGCTACATAAATAAATGCATTATTACCATTATATCCTCCATGTGGCAGGTCTTAGTAACATGACAATATGTGAAATGAGAAACTGTTCCATTTGAACTGATTTTCTGTAGCAGGTAAGATACTTTTCAGATGTCCCTCCCTGAATGAAAAGTTGTAAGTTGTGAGTGCGCAATCACATTGTCACTTGGCAGCAATTTTGGCTCAGTTTACAGATTGAAGTGGAGTAAGCCACGTTAGCGTCTCTGTTCTCCTTTACTTCCTGGCATATGAAGTGGGATTCATCCTTAGCACGTCCCTGCAGCTCAAACCTCTGATCCTGTCATTTATGTAGAGCTGCAGCTACCTCCCAAATCCCCCACTGCACTTTACTGAGTTAAACACCTTTGTACAACAAGGAGTTCAAGGGTGTTTTTTGTTTGCACATTCATAAGCCTCCAACGAGTAAACCCGCTGGATGCATGCTGGTAAATATCAGAGTAGTCTGCTGTCTTAGTTCAGCGCTCATGTCATTTATCCGCTGGAAGGAACAACGTGACTGCAGGTCAACAAAAGAGGAGGAAAAGAAGAGAAAGAAACAAAAAAAGGACAAATAAAAAGACTTTAAAGGAGACACGGTAGTTGTGGATGATTGTGTGTCTCTAATGATTGCAGATACCCTAACGAGGTAATAACATAATAACATTATGTACAGCTCAAAAAAGTCACAAAGTAATCCACTGCCCTTTAAAGTCAGCGCTGCCTTTAAGCCTTTTTAAGAAATTTTTAATGATAAAAGTCAGAGTATTTTGCTGCAATATCATTTATCATTCAATTCTCATATTTTCACTCTTGAGATGTAAAAATAAGTTGAAAATAGGATCTATAAGGAAATTCTACGACATGAATAACTGATAACACTGAGGAGGTAGAGTTCCTTCTGGTCTGGTTGGAGTTCAGTCTCCTTCAACAGAGGCAACAATCTGTGTGGCTGTGGCAATGAAATAAAAGCTGTAGTAGCTGTCACTCTGGATTTTGTAATGATGCTTTATGGATATCCAAAACTGTTTGTTAAAAAAGTACTTAATACTATTTTATGGTATTTTCCCTTTCAGTCAGGATGTATTCTTGCTTAGTTCTGGTTCCACACAGTAAAACCTGGACCTCAAACTGCCAGTAAATCTTTTTGTCTTGAACACTTCAGGCTCATACACAGAGAATTAGTCTCGAAACGGATTCTTTTTCAGGGGTACAACACAGCTGCTCCTCAGTCCGATCCTTCGCCTTCAACATCGTTAGCACTTATCCCACACACGGAGATTTCCGAGGCTAAGTGACCTGCATCCTCTCAGCTCTGAATGACGTAAGTACCAGAGTAGCCTTGGTGCCTCCAGCCGACCTGAACACACTTCTGTCGCAGCTGATGGGAATGCAGGATGCTTCTATTCATCCATCAGAGCTCACAGGGAGTTTCTACCAACACTCTCAGCCTGCATCTCCCAAGATAAAGGCCTCAATTAAAAAAATGAATAATATCAGCTGATGGTGGGGTGGAGTTGTGAGTTTGACCTAGGTTTGGTCATATGCCACAGCGGAACACAAAAGGCTGCATTTGACTAGTGTCTGTGTTGCTGGGAGGTTGGTGCCACAGATGACAGATGCTTTAGGCTGATGGAAGATGGGCTTGAGAGTCAGCCATTTCAGTCTTGTGATCTAATCTGTTACCCATCATGCATCCTGGCTTACTAATGAAAAGGCAAGGTCCTATCCATCATAGATAGCTATGGTTAATGGAATTTTAACCCTTCCATGGCCTCATAGGTGTGAACTCCTCTGAACATGTGATAATTTCAGAAGACCTCACAGTAATGGCAAATGAATACAAAGTAAAGAACAAAAATCTGCCAAGGCTCAGCTTCCTTGGCAGTAAGTGTTGTGCCTCTGTTTATGAGACCCAGTAATTTTAATTACAATGTCTTCATTATTGGTCTTCAGCAACATGCTAAGGATGAGTCTCAAAAGTTCACGTTTGAATATGCCATTTATCTATCAGGGTTAGCTTTGACTAACCCTGATAGAATGATTGTTTTCAATGGAAACATCAGGATGATTCAGGATAATGCAACAGCTCTTTTCAGTTTGCTTAGTGACACATCAGCTTATACATCAGCTTGAAATGACAAAGTTTATAACTGTCATTAATTACAAGCTCTGCTCTAATGCATGGATTTCTTGTCTAAGCCACCAATAATTCTTGTCCAGGGTTCAGTTACGATCTTTTCCTTCTCTACTGTTTTACTGAATTACAATGAAGGCATTCATTTGGAAGACGAGAAGCTATAGTCTTTCACAGAAGTCAATGTCACCTTGTCAAGTTCAGAAGTGGTGTGTCCCAGCGCAGCTAAACCAAAGTGCTTGGTTAATCTCCCAAACAAGGCCGGCAGCCTCTTTGTCTGATACTCCAAGGTTCTTCCTCTCTATTCCACCAGCACTCTGTCTGAGCTTAAATCCAACATTAGATGCTCTGCAGATCTCCCAGGAGGCATGTGCTGACTCTCTGAGCAACAATGGCAGCAAAAGACAAAACAGGCGGCACATGGTTATCCAGACTGCTGTGACATTATGTTCATTGGCAGGAGAATACTTTGTAATTGGGGAAATTTATGAATAAAAACAGGCAGTTTTGAAAGATTAAAAGAGCAATGATGTTCAGAGGGGTTACTTCACATGAAACTCCTTACTAACTTCGCCATTCCCCTTGGTGTGTTTCCTCAGGGCTTTTTCCGTCGAAGCATTCAGAAGAACATGGTATACACGTGTCACCGGGACAAAAACTGCATCATCAACAAAGTGACGAGGAACCGCTGCCAGTACTGTCGCCTGCAGAAGTGCTTCGCTGTGGGAATGTCCAAAGAGTGTAAGCCTCAAACACAGCTGACTTGTGACACAAGATTTTTTTAAAGGTTTTTGACTTCTGAAAATTCCAGCACACATTGTATGTTGGTGTATATTTGTAAAAACTATCTTTAACTAGTTTATATTACAAATATCACTTGGAAGAAAAATGGAACCTCAAATATGATGGAAAATTGGAAGAGGAGCTGTCATGTGGAACCAGTATGAGATTTGATTGTATATTATACCTGTCCCAAATTATGAACGCCCTTGAGTGTATGTGTGGACTAAAAGATGTTCCTAAAAAAAAAATCCCACTTCATGTTCAGCTTCCTGGCAGACACCGGAAGGTTTTAGATTAAACCTTTGCTGGTATTTGGAGTTATTCATTATTTCATCCACCTTGACAAAACCTCGATATGAAGAAAAACAACCTTCGACAGACGTGGCTAGAGTAGCAGAACTTAAGCATATTTTTACTCAAATACAGTAAAAAGTGACGGGAAAGAACAAAGTACTCTGTAAAAAGACTCAAAAAAAGTGAAAAACTGCTCAGATTATACTTGGCTTGGAAGCAATGACAGTAGTTTGTGGAGTATTTTTAAGCAAAATAAAAAAAAAATGATACAAAGTCTATCTTGCTGGTGTAAGTCACTCGCTATAATAGCTAACAGCACTGTCCTACACAGTAACATACAGTTAGGGCCAGAAATATTTGGACAGTAACACAGGTTTTGTTATTTTAGCTGTTGACAAAAATATGTTCAGAAATACAATTTATATATAGTATGGGCTGAAAGTGCACACTCCCAGCTGCAATATGAGAGTTTCCACATCCAAATCGGAGAAAGGGTTCAGGAATCATAGCTCTGTAATGCAGAGCCTCCTCTTTTTCAAGGGACCAAAAGTAATTGGACAATGGACTCTAAAGGCTGCAAGTAACTCAGAAGGCCTTTCCCTCGTTAACCTGTAATCAAATAAGTAGTTAAAAGGTCTGGGGTTGTTTCCAGGTGTGTGGTTTTGCATTTGGAAGCTGTTGCTGTGACCAGACAACATGCGGTCAAAGGAACTCTCAATTGACGTGAAGCAGAACATCCTGAGGCTGAAAAAAAGAAAAAATCCATCAGAGAGATAGCAGACATGCTTGGAGTAGCAAAATCAACAGTCTGGTACATTCTGAGGAAAAAGGAATTGACTGGTGAGCTTGGGAACTCAAAAAGGCCTGGGCGTCCACGGAAGACAACGGTGGTGGATGATCGCCAATACTTTCTTTGGTGAAGAAGAACCCGTTCACAACATCAACTGAGGTCCAGAACACTCTCAGGGAAGTAGGTGTATCTGTCTCTAAGTCAACAGTAAAGAGAAAACTCCATGAAAGCAAATACAAAGGGTTCACATGTAGATGCAAACCATTTGACGACATCCAGAATGTTAATGGGACAGCCTTAAGATCTGACTGGAGCTTTCATTTTGCTAGTGTAGTCTGGGATCTGCACACCAACAGGTTCATCAATTCCAAAAATAGACAGGCCAGAGTTAAATTTGCCCAAAAACACCTCAAGAAGCCAGCCCAGTTCTGGAAAAGTATTCTATGGACAGATGAGACAAAGATCAACCTGTACCAGAATGATGGGAAGAAAAAAGTTTGGAGAAGAAAGGGAACGGCACATGATCCAAGGCACACCACATCCTCTGTAAAACATGGTGGAGGCAACGTGATGGCATGGGCATGCATGGCTTTCAATGGCACTGAGTCACTTGTGTTTATTGATGACATAACAGACAAGAGTAGCCGGATGAATTCTGAAGTGTACCGGGATATACTGTCAGCCCAGATTCAGCCAAATGCTGCAAAGTTGATCGGACGGCGCTTCACAGTACAGATGGATAATGACCCCAAGCATACAGCCAAAGCTACCCAGGAGTTCATGAGAGCAAAAAGGTGGAATATTCTGCAATGGCCAAGTCAATCACCAGATCTTAACCCAATTGAGCATGCATTTCACTTGCTCAAATCCAGACTTCAGACGGAAAGACCCACTAACAAGCAAGACCTGAAGGCTGCGGCTGTAAAGGCCTGGGAAAGCATTAAGAAGGAGGAAACCCAGCATTTGGTGATGTCCATGGGTTCCAGACTTAAGGCAGTGATTGCCTCCAAAGGATTCGCAACAAAATATTGAGAAAAAACTTTTTTGTTTGGGTTATGTTTATATGTCCAATTACTTTTGAGCTCCTAAAATGTGGAGTGTTTGTAAACAAATGTGTACAATTCCTACATTTTCTATCAGATATTTTTGTTCAACCCTTTAAATTAAACGTTACAATCTGCACTTGAATTTTGTTGTAGCGGTTTCATTTCAAATCCAATGCGGTGGCATGCAGAGCCCAACTCACGAAAATTGTGTTACTGTCCAAATATTTCTGGCCCTAACTGTACATCAGTGAAGTCAAGTAAGGCAATAACAAAACTTAACACAATGTCTCTTGTGGTGAAACATGGAAACATGGTGAGTTTAACATGGAAACAGAGTTTATACCGCATAAAGATTTTTAAAAAATATAATTTTTCCTCAGCTTATGTTTGTGTATCTCACAGAATCCCAGTGAAATATATTAAAATGTTTGAGCCTAATATGACAAAACGTGTGGCTAAGTTTTATGTACATGAACTGTTAATGGAAGTAGGACAAATTGATTTATGTGAATGATAAAATGCTGGTTTTGATGACATCCAGAATGTTAATGGGACAGCCTTAAGATCTGACTGGAGCTTTCATTTTGCTAGTGTAGTCTGGGATCTGCACACCAACAGGTTCTGGAGACATTAAATAGTATAAATACTGGAATGAATTGTGGTTTAATTTGATTTGGCTGACTCCGGTTATGGGGTCCTGGTGTTGCTCAGTCTGCCACACCCTGAAGCCTGACTGAAAACAGCCACTGTGGATGTTTTTCTGAAGCTGACAATTAGAAATGTCTGCTGTGAAAAAGCAGCTAAAGATGTGTCCTCATGCATTAGAATGACAGGAGGTTTCTCACTGAATGGAAATAGACTCGGTACTGTTTAAAACACACAAACACAAACACACACACACACAGATAAATATGCTTCTACTTATATACTGAGGAAAGAGAACAGAGTAATAAATGCAAATGAAGTGTAAAATGTTATTTAGCTTTTCATAGCTAAATAACAAGGCATACAGTAAACTTCAAATTATGTTCTATTTTTGAAGGTGGTGGCCTATATTTGTTTTCTGGTTCTCTCTTGTCCTGTTTTTTTGCACTGCAGTGACTGTATCAGATAAAATATCGAACAGTGAATGTGAGTGGATTACTAGCAGTATCAGTGCATCGCTATCAGTCTTACAGGTTCTGACTCCTGCAGAACTTCCACTCTACAGCAATACTCATGTTTCATTCAGTTCTGTTTTCATTCTTTGTCTGGTATTTCAACCAGCCAGGAGGAGTTGCATCAGCCACAGAGGTTTGTTGGACATCCTGTTGGTTTCAGCTGAGAAAGTCAGACCCTGTGGACCAACGATGACCTTGTTCCATCGTTTCTCAGTCCTGATCCTGTGCATTTGTTTACTTACAACAAAGCAAAAAGCCATATTCCAATGCAGCACAACACAACATTTTTTATTTGAGCTTTATCTTGCAGTTGTCTTGGCACTTAACTAAATGTGACCTTTGGCCCCAAGATTGGCATGGGTTGAGTGAATAAATAAAATAAACTTTATGTGTCAGGGATAAGGTTACTCTGTGATCTGTATCAAAGCTAATTTCGAGTGAATTCTTAGTGAGCTGCAATCGGTAAATGAACTACTCAAAGTGTTTTATATGGGATTGACATTCAGGGGTTTTCAGAACACACACACATTCATACACACCTACACTTGAGGTATGTGATACTGCATATTTTGGTATCTATCTCATGCCAAAGCAATACAGAACCTGTATCGCCGATACCAATACTGATGCAGATACATTTTCCTTAAATTTGATATGTCATCATACTTCAGTTCTTTAGGTTTTGTTGTGAATTATTTTTGTTCAAAGCTACAATATAATTTGGACGAAGTTTTTAGCTCTGTACGGAATATATTAAAATCATATTAACATGGTTTGTGTGCATTTTTCTAAATAGAGTGCAAATTAAGAAAATACAACACGGAAATAAAACACTTCCAAAAGGAACCTTAAACTAAAGTATTGATCATATATGCTTAAATTTTTTTATTTAATACACATTTAGAAAATTGAGGTGAGTTTTACTTTGTGTGATCTAGCATCTGTAGGCATCATTTTAAATTCTACCCTTTATTAAAGGGTTGAGGTTTATTTTAATTACGATTATTAGAAAAGCAAATAAATCCATGGAGTGGCAGAAGACTCGCAAGCCAGTAAATACATGCTTCATCAGTTCTTTCATCAACTGATTTGACAGACCCACAGGCTCATTCTACTTATGAAAACACAAGTCCCCTTTTGGAGTAATTCTCTCTTAGTGTCTACTAGGCATTCTAGTGATCTTCACTATTTTCAGTCACTGTCAGACGTTAAAATCATGTATTTTCACATTTGATGATACTCAAGATGAGCAAATCAAGTTATTGACAAACATTTTTACCAGTTTGTTTTTTGGACCCGAGTCCAATCAGGACTCGGGTCCAAGTCAGTCATTCCATCCATCCATCCATCCATCCATCCATCCATCCATCCATCCATCCATCCATCCATCCATCCATCCATCCATCCATCCATCCATCCATCCATCCATCCATCCATCCATCCATCCATCCATCCATCCATCCATCCATCCATCCATTTTCTAAGCACCCTTCTCCCTAACGGAGTCGGGAGGTGCTGTTGCCTATCTCCAGCTGCGTTCCGGGCGAGAGGCGGGGCCCACCCTGGACAGGTCGCCAGTCTGTCGCAGTCTCAGTCATTCCATTAATCTCTTTTTAAAATGCTACAATTATAAGAAATGTTAGATTTCCGTTGACGAATTAAACCCAT